CAAATTGAATTAAATACATTAAAGGACAATGTACTGTCTTTTACACAGGGAGGAGACATTAACCATGCACTTAATCAGCCCCAGACAACAGGAAGCCCCTTCCAGACCCCGTAGCTAAACCCTAATGCAGGCATCTTCAGTCCTGCCAGAAGTCACATTCCAGACATGAGTGTCAGCAATAGGGGTGATCTAGTATGAAGGAAGCCACAGGAATTCGATGGAAAGGCACCGTGGGAAGCATATAAAGCACAATTTAAGCTCCTGACAGAAATGAATGGATGGACAGAGGAGCAGAAAGCAGTGTACTTGACAACGAGCCTAAAGGGACAACCACTGGAAATACTTAGACAGTTGTCATCAGATGACAGGCACAACTATAGAGCACTGGTAGGTGCTCTAGAAATGAGGTATGGAACTCAAAATTAGTCTGAAGTCTACAGGGCTAGGTTTAGGACTAGAGTCCGTGCTAAAGGGGAAAGCCTGCAAGAACTGGCACAGGATTTGGAAAGTATGGCACAGAAGGCCTACCCAACTGCACCACCCGATGTCCTCAAGTTGTTGCTGAGGTATCAGTTTGTAGATGCCTTGGAAGTCCCCAACTGAAGATACAAGTGAAGCAAGCACACCCCTCTACTATGCAGGATGCAATGGCTAGAGCTCTTGAATTCGAATCCTACGTTAAGTCCAGGGAAGAAGTACCAATGTTGGTACAGTCATCAGGATTCAAGGCCAGAACAGGGCCACTCTCAGAGAAGTTTGAGGGACTTTCCTAGCACTGTAACAAACCTGGCCACAAGAGAGCTCAATGCTGGCAACTGCAATACAGGGAAGATGCCACGGCCGGAAAGGCTGCTACCCAGAAGGGTTGTTAGAACTGTGGAGAGCAAGGACATATGAGGAGCCAGTGTAAGAAGAATATTACCAATAAGTCAGCTTCTGGAAACCAGTAGTAGTTGGTGCTGAGGGACGCCCACCAACCTCCACTGTGAAAGTCCTAACAGTTAAGTGTAAAATGGCAAGCACACATAGTGTCTACGTGACAGGATAGCTGGATGGCCATAAGTGCAACTCTGTCATAGATTCTGTATCTCAGCAATCCCTTGTGAGTATCAAGATGCCAGATCACAAAGGAGTACCACAAGCCATACAGAAGCTCTGTGATATGACAGAACATTATGCAAGGTTGTGGGGACCAGTGTGGGTAATTATTGAGCTTATGGGCATGAAGGACAGACACAAAGTATACTTGGCTGACATTGAAAACCAATGCATATTAGGGTTGGGCTACTTACTACCTAGGAAGTGTGTAGGTAACTTTGATAAAATTACATTAGAGAACAACAAAGGCCAAATTTCGGTAAGTGTTGCTCCATCTGTTGATTTGCATGTCACAGCACTTAAGTCAACTACAATACTCCCTATGTCACAGAAGATAATTCGGAGTAGAATAAAAAAACATCCCCAAGGAAGCCCAATACTTGTGGAAGCAGTGGAAGACCCATCCATGTCAGCAGAAGTGAAGATTGGAAGGTCACTTGTGGCAGGTCATCAAGTAGTACCCATAACAGTGGCTAATTTCTCTAAATGTGAGCAGACACTTAAGGAAGGAGCATTGTTGTGTGTGTGTCAGGAGGTAGAGCCAAGAAATACAATCATAAAGAAAGGACATCCTCTCCCAGAATATTTAACTGACCTCTATAAGAATAGTATAGTACATTTGTCATCATCACAAGCTCTTCAGGTTAGAGAATTCTTGGCGAATTATGCAGACGTCTTTTCAAAAGGAGATCAT